TTATTGTCCATGCAGATGTGGAATAATCAAGTAGGTTTCGAGGGAGGCGGTGGTCCTCCCTCAGGCATTTCAACAGTACTGGGTCACATTTTTCTAGGGCAAAAGGCAAAGGGGAGAGGCAAAGGGGCAGGCAATATTGTTAGCAAGATACATACATTCAAATCATAAGCATTTCATAACAACAAAACCCCATCTTTGTCCCACATCCCAAGTATATTTAATATGAGGATTAATTTTCATGAAGAAGCCTGAAGTCCAATGTTTTAAAAGGTCTTTGAGGAAAATTCATGAGGGAGATAGTATGTACTGAAGTCCAAGACATGCAGGCAGAGAGTCCATGATCATTGGGAAGGCTGGCAGATGAAACCCCAGCTGTGCTGCAACTGATTCACACTTTGGTCCTTGGGAAACTACAACTCTCACGAAGGGCAGAAGTCCCAAGATCCAGCCGTTTCCCAAAAGCCTTGTGGGGTCCTTGTTGTTGTCAATGCTTTGGCAATGTGACCAAGACTTGACCCTTGTTGTGTAGTCTGGTGCCCTTGCCCTTTGCAGAACTATAAGTCACTATCCCTTATTTGGGGGAGAGGTGCTTGACATCATTCCTCCCTTCGAGGCTGGAAAATGGCCATGCTCATTTTCCCAAGCCTCGACAATTCTTTAGCACCCGGGGCCTCTCTCTAGACAGATTAGATTGTATTCTGTTGATTATTTTGAGGCCCAATCTAAGCAACATAAGCTTGCAACAGCAGGACCCAGCAGGGTGTGAGAGAGCAGTAGCAGAGTGTCCTTTGGTTTGGAGTGATAAGGAATGAAGTAAGGTGGAGACGGTGGAGGCAGGGGATGATGGGATCAGTGATGGTAGTCAGCATGGAGTACTCAGGGGTCCCGAGTGAGTCCCCAATGGAGAAGGATGGCACATGGTGGAATTCTCCCATCTGGCAGTGGTCCACAGGCCTCCTGGGGGGTGCTGAGTCCTCCCTTGGCACTTGGGGGAGGGAGAAGATGGGGCACAGCTTTGCTACCCCTTCTGGCGGGGCGCCTCCTGGTGACCGCAGACAGGTCTGGCTCTCCATCATCACAGAGACTCAGGGGTAATGTCTAGGACAGTCAGAAAGAAAGTTTACAGCCCACCCCCACCCCCCCTTCCCGGCCCTAGGGTAGTTAGTAGGGAAACAAAGGGAAAACTTCCATACCTAGTGGGGACTGCAGTGGTCCTTCTTGGGCCAACCCCTCGCACAGCCATGGACAGCAAGGACATCCTTCCTTCACTGTGGGATCCTGGATGCTCCTCTTGCGATAGCATTCCCCGTGGGGGCTCAGATCAGCCTCAAGCTGGAGGCTGTCTCTTCTGGGTGGCATGGAGGTCTGGTCCTGCTCTTTTAGGATCTTCCTGTGTCATCTGGGTCCCAACTGCCACACGGAAAGTCCATAGAGTGCCTCACCCAGGTAGTTGTCCTCAGCGGCAGGAGTGGATTATGGGTCCCACAGTTGTTTCGGTGATGTTTCGATCGTTCTCTGTGCGGGGAAGACCTCAAGGGACCCTGCTGCCCCTCTCATAATTAAGGCAGTTAGAGGGATAATTAAAACATCCACATACATGCACTCAGGGAAAAGGAGGGAGGAAAGGCCAGGAAGGAAAAAGGCATTGGAGGGACTGTGTGTGAGAGAGAGACTTAACCATAGATGTGGGTGAAATGTCAGGAAGGAATGCTCCTGGAACATCCCTTTCTTAGGTTTGAGAAGAAGGAGGTGAGAGGAAGCAGCAGGATTTCTATGGGGGATAGAGGAAAGAATTCACAGAATATTGGCTTCTTAGAGGATGGGAAGGGAGGGAGAAGAGAGAGAGAGAAAAGAGGGATGGGTTTCAGAGACATTTTACAAGCACATGGAATTCTTTTTGTGAGGCCTGGTTCTTAGACAGAAAGGGGAGAAGTAGAGAGGGAGGAGAGAGTTTATATACCCTATGGTTTATATAGGGTAACCAGGAAACAGAACAGGAAGCCCCGCCTCTCAAACAAAGCAACACCCAAAGCAGCAAATTTTAAACACAGGAAGCCCCGCCTCTCAAACAAAGCAACACTCAAAGCAGTTAATTTTAAACACTCACTCAGATTTCTATTGCCCTCTAAGACAAAGCTTATCCTGAAGCAGAAGGGAACAAAATGGATTCTGCTTCCTCAACTTCTGTGGGAGCCCAACAGCAAAGTATTGCTATTCTTTGCTGTTGCTTTGTTTCTTTAGTTATTGTGTTGTTGTTTTATTGTTGTATTTGGGCTCGGCCTCTTGTAAGCTGCACTGAGTCTTTCAGGAGATGGTAGCGGGGTACAAATAAAGGATTATTATTATTATTATTATTATTATTATTATTATTATTATTCTACCCCCTCCTGTTGCACCCCTCCTTCCTCCCCCCCCCCCGCCTTATCTTAGTTTATGGCTACATACCTTTCCCAGGAAACAGAGCATCCCTCTCTGGCCAGATGGCCCCTTATCAACTCATAAGTCACTTCAATGTCAGGAAGGAGGATTCAGCTTATGTTGACTTTGGCTCGAAGACCAGATCCTGACACTTAGATGCAAGTAAAATGTCAGTGATTCCAGCCATGAACAGATTTTCTTTAATATTAAAAAAATGTTATTTATAAAAACTGAAAAATTGCCAAAAATCTGTTGATAAATAAAACTACACTTCCCAGTTAGCCCAATTTCATGGGCTAACACTGGTAAATGTGCTCTACCATTGTAATACGTTTCACCTCAATAGCTTTACAAATGAGGGTGACAGGAGCCCATGAAGTTTCCCCAATTATAGTAATTTAAATTATGCGCAATGAAATAGTAACTAAATTTCATTAGTCTTGTTATAGTCATGAAATGTTCATTAAGTATACTTTTGAAACACTAGAAATGAAGCAGCATCACCCTCATTTTGTAATGAGTTTTTGAACCAAGTAGCCGTTGCTATCTATGCGGCTATGGGATGAAACAAGAAAGGAAAATACGCAGGATGCTGACAAGGTTAAACAAGGATTAAACTTTCTTTTATTGTTGCAGGTAGTATATCTCAGGTAAAGGAGGAGATAAGCAAAAGGAAGCAACCTCACTTTGATACAAGAGTCCATAACAGTGATTCTTATATCTATTTGGCAGGAATCTTGCATCAGAGAAGTCTCATGGAGCTCCCTTCCCAAACAAAAGGTTATGAAGCACCAAGGGCTTTAGGGAAGAAGAAGAAGAAGAAGAAGAAGAAGAAGAAGAAGAAGAAGAGGAAAAAGGAAGAGGAGGGGGAGGATGTGACGTCTTCATGAAGACAGGAAGCATAATACATTATTCAGATTCCACCTGAACATGAGGAAGAACTTCCTGACTGTGAGAGCTGTTCGGCAGTGGAACTCTCTGCCCTGGAGGGAGTGTGGTGGAGGCTCCTTCTTTGGAAGCTTTTAAGCAGAGGCTGGATGGCCATCTGTCAGGGGTGATTTGAATGCAATATCCCTGCTTCTTGGCAGAATGGGGTTGGACTGGATGGCCCATGAGGTCTCTTCCAACTCTTTGATTCTATGATTCTATGATTCTATTCATACCCTGCTTTATATCCCCATGGATGTAACACCAAGGGGTTTTTGGTAAGAAGAAGAAGAACCCAAAGAAGGAGGAGGAGGAGGAGAAGGAGGAGGAGGGAAGGAAGGAAGAACAAGAAGAGGAAGACAAGGAAGAAAAAGGAAGAGGAGGAGGAGGGGGAATGTGACCTCTCCATGAAGACAGGAAGCATAACACCTTATGCATACCTTATTCACACCCTGCTTTATATCCCCATGGATGTAACACCAAGGGGTTTGGAAGAAGAAGAAGAAGAAGAAGAAGAAGAAGAAGAAGAAGAAGAAGAAGAAGAAGGAGGAGGAGGAAGAAGAAGAAGGGAAGGAGGAGGAGGAGGAGGAGGAGGAGAAGAAGAGGAAGAAGAAGAGGAGGAGGGGAGGAGGGAGGGAGGGAGGAGGAGGAAGAAGAGGAAGACAAAGAAGAAAAAGGAGGAGGAGGAGAGGGAATGTGACCTCTCCATGAAGACAGGAAGCATAACACCTTATGCATACCTTATTCACACCCTGCTTTATATCCCCATGGATGTAACACCAAGGGGTTTTGGGGAAGAAGAAGAAGAAGAAGAAGAAGAAGAAGAAGAAGAAGAAGAAGAAGAAGAAGAGGAGGAGGAGGAGGAGGAGGAGGAGGAGGAGGAGGAGGAGGAGGAGGAGGAAGACGAGGAACCAAAGGAGGAGGAGGAGGAGGAGGAAGAAGAAGAAGAGGAAGAAGAAGAAGAAGAGGAGGTGGAGGAGGGAGGAAGGAGGAGGAAGAAGAGGAAGACAAAGAAGAAAAAGGAGGAGGAGGAGGAGGGGGAATGTGACCTCTCCATGAAGACAGGAAGCATAACACCTTATGCATACCTTATTCACACCCTGCTTTATATTCCCGTGGATGTAACACCAAGGGGTTTGGGGGAAGAAGAAGAAGAAGAAGAAGTAGAAGAAGAAGAGGAGGAGGAGGAGGAGGAGGAGGAGGGAGGGAGGGAGAACAAAAAGAGGAAGACAAAGAAGAAAAAGGAAGAGGAGGAGGAGGGGAAATGTGACCTCTCCATGAAGATAGGAAGCATAACACCTTATGCATACCTTATGCATACCCTGCTTTATATCCCCATGGATGTAACATCAAGGGATTTTGAGGAAGAACAAGGAGGAGGAGGAGGAGGAGGAGGAGGAGGAGGAGGAGGAGGAAGAAGAAGAAGAAGAAGAAGAAGAAGAAGAAGAAGAAGAAGAAGAAGAGGAGGAGGAAGGAAGGAAGAACAAGAAGAGGAAGACAAAGAAAAAGAAGAGGGAAGCAACCATTCCATTCAGGAATTAATCTAAACACCTTGAGTTACACGGATGTAGAGAACACAGGGTGAAGCAAGAGATGTCCCTCATTGCTCGACAAGTGTTGAGGCTCCTTTGCTCCCAACGCTGAATTGTCACATCTCTTAGAAGCAGAAGCTGGTTCTTCTGGCCCTCTCCACCCGTGAATGGAGACCTTGTGCGACCCCTTCACCGGGGCACGACACAGAGCAGATAGTGCTGGGGGACATTGCCAATGCTGCTCAGGTGGGGCTTGAGGTCGATATCCTGGGGGTCAGTGATGGGTTTCAGCTTGAAGTTCTGGAGGATGGAGGTCAAGAACAAGAAGAGCTCCATGCGGGCCAGGCCTTCTCCTGCACAGATCCGCTTCCCTGCAAGGAGGAGCAAAAAAGAAGGGATGAATAGAAAAGAGAAAGGAAGTGTCGCACACCAAGGCTGGAAGCACACCTTTGAACCCACAAACACTCCAAAGTTCTTTAGCAAATAAACAGTTTATGCAAGCAGTATCAAAAAAGGTGGAAAAGGCAAGTAAAAGATTATGTGAGAAAGTCTAAAAACAATCCAACCCAGCAGGTAAGCAAATATAATCCATCAAAGAGAACAGAGTTGATACTTAATTCCACAACAAAATCCACGAATGCATAGTCCTTCAATCCCACAGAGAAAAATGTCCAGTCTCTTGAAAAGCCAAGGAACAAGGTTGCACAGATCCAAAATCCACAGAATCCACAGGAAAACATTCACCCACAGCAACTTGAACATGAGTCTTGAGCAGAGAGTTCCATGAATCTTGACATGACATACATACAAGACTTGACCGGTAACCGACATTGCGCTCTCTGAAGGCAATGCTGTGAAAGCCCTATATTTATTTAAAAGACTTACACAAAATGCATTCCGATTCCCTTGAGAACTCTCCTTCAAATTCCTCTTTTCCCTTATCCTGACAGACCTCCTGACTCTCACTTGCAAGTGGCGATCTTGACAGATTTGACCCCTTCTATCAAAGGTTGATTCCTCCCGGTTGCTCGTTAACACATTCCTTTCACTGTCCTTATCTAGCAACCCAAGCTGGTTCCCATTAGACTGTCTGGAAACCATTTGATCTTGAGAACTAACAATCCCAGAATCTTCCAACTCCCTTTTCTGTGCCCTCTTCTTCACTCACAGTCCCCTGAGAATCTACATTATAATCCAACATGGAAATCTCTGAAGGAAATTGAACATAACCATAATCCTCGTCTTGAGGCACGGCAACAACCCCAGTCGGCTGAGCTCCTACAGGAAGTTGTGTCCTAGAATCATAGAATCCTAGGGTTGGAAAAGGTCCCAAGGGCTATCCAGTCCAACCCTTTTCTACCATGCAGGAAAATGCAATAAAAGCATTCCAACAGATGGCCATTTTTATCATGTGTGACTGATAAAAAAAAATGTTTCAAAAGTCATAACAAAATTGGGGGTGGTAGTGTCTTCTTTATAAAGGGTTTCTAAAGTATAATTGCATTTGTTTTTCGTTATAGTAATTGCACAAGTGAGGGAACTTTGGGGATCCTTTCTCCCTCATTTGTACAGTATTGGGGTACAGCTTGCTACAATGGTAGACTACATTTACTACTGTTAGCTCATCAAGTTTCAGAACGTTTCACTCATCCACAATTTTTTAGGGAATTTTCAAAGTTTTCGAAAACAATATTTAAAAAAAAAACTTCAAGAGGTATATTATTATTATTATTATTATTATTATTATTATTATTATTATCATCTACCAGAAGCATCAGCAAGTCCTCCTCTTCCCACTGTTTTTAATTATGTGTTGTTTTATTGATAATGTTGTGTATTTTATTGAACAACGGCACTGCATCCTGTCAGATCCCCAAAATCTGGAGGAAAGCAAGAGTCATCGCCATCTTGAAGCCAGGCAAAGACCGTAATGACCCAAAAAGCTACAGACCAATCTCCCTGTTGTGCCACCTCTACAAAGTTCTGGAGAGACTTATTTTGCATAGAATTATGGAAAAAATAGACCCATGTCTGATCCCACAGCAAGCTGGCTTCAGGAAAGGCAAAAGCTGCACATCGCAAGTGCTGAACCTGACCCAGCACATAGAAGATGGCTTTGAAAGGCAGCAGATCACAGGAGCTGTCTTCATAGACTTGTCAGCAGCCTATGATACTGTGAACCACCGCTGCCTCCTCCTGAGAAAAATGTATAATATCACCAAGGACGACCACCTCACCCGCCTCATAGGAAACCTGCTACAAAACAGGAGCTTTTTTGTTGAGTTCCAGGGCCAGAGAAGCAGATGGAGGAAACAGAAGAACGGCCTGCCTCAGGGGAGCGTGCTTGCTCCATCCATGTTCAACATCTACACAAATGACCAGCCACTGCCAGAAGGGACAGAGAGTTTCATCTATGCTGATGATCGTGCCATTACTGCTCAAGCAGGGAGCTTTGAGATGGTAGAACAGAAGCTCTCCGAAGCTCTAGGTGCTCTTACTGCCTACTACAGGGAAAACCAGCTGATCCCTAATCCATCTAAAACACAGACATGTGCCTTTCACCTTAAGAACAGACAAGCATCCAGAGCTCTGAGGATCACCTGGGAAGGAATCCCACTGGAGCATTGCAGCACACCCAAATACCTGGGAGTCACTCAGGACCGTGCTCTGACCTACAAGAAGCACTGCCTGAATATCAAGCAAAAAGTGGGTGCTAGAAACAATCATACGAAAGCTGACTGGCACAACCTGGGGATCACAACCAGACACAGTGAAGACATCTACCCTTGCGCTATGCTACTCTGCTGCTGAGTATGCATGCCCAGTGTGGAACACATCTCATCACACTAAAACAGTGGATGTGGCTCTTAATGAGACATGCCGCATTATCACGGGGTGTCTGCGCCCCACACCACTGGAGAAATTACACTGCTTAGCCGGTATTGCACCACCTGACATCCGCCGGGAAGTAGCAGCCAATAGTGAAAGGACGAAGGCAGAGACATCTCCAGCTCATCCCCTGATTGGGTATCAGCCAGCACGTCAACGACTTAAATCAAGACATAGTTTTCTTAGATCTACAGAGACACTCGCTGGAACACCCCAGCAAGCGAGAGTCCAAAAATGGCAGGCCCAAACCCAGCACCTCAATTCATGGGTGATACCAGATGAGAGACTCCCCCCTGGTCACACAGAAGACTGGGCGACTTGGAAGGCGCTGAACAGACTGCGCTCTGGCACCACGAGATGCAGAGCCAATCTTAAGAAATGGGGCTACAGGGTGGAATCCTCGGCATGCGAGTGCGGAGAAGAGCAAACCACTGACCACCTGCTGCAATGCACCCTGAGCCCTGCCACATGCACGATGGAGGACCTTCTTGCGGCAACCCCAGAGGCACTCCAAGTGGCCAGAGACTGGTCAAAGGACATTTAACCAAATACCAAATTTACAAAATCTGTGTGGGTTTTTTTCTTTCTTTTTTTTTCTTTTTTCTTTTTCTTTTTAATCTCTGTGTTTGTTTTGCTCTGTTAGAATTGGTTGCTGATGACACGATAAATAAATTTTATTGTCTATGTTTTTTAATTTCTTGTATTGTTGTTATTATTGCTTGTATTGTTGTGTTTGGGCTCGGCCTCATGTAAGCTGCACCGAGTCCCTTGGGGAGATGGGGAGATGGTAGTGGGATACAAATAAAGTGTTATTATTATTATTATTATTATCATTTGCTGATTCAACAATTTACTGGCACTCTGGGTGGCTTCTGGGAAATGTAGTTCAGGGCAGGACCTTTTGCATTCTCTGCCATAGGGCTCCTCTCCTTCTCAAACTACATTTCCCAGATTTTTGTGCTTTCTTTCCCAGCAAACTCTGCTTTCTCCCTGCTGCTTCCCTCTTCTCATGACAAGAGGCCATTAATTTAAAAAGGAAAGGCAGCCTTTTTGGCTTTGCTTTGCTTCTTTGAACGGAAAATGAAACTGATTTTGGAAGGCTTCCAAGGTTTACAAAATGCAAACAAAAAAGTATTGGGTAAGTTTTGATTTTTAAGTTTGGCACAGGCCACTCCCACGTGTCGGATATTGCCTCGTAAGTACGAATTTAATGAATCTGATACGACTCACGGGGACTAATGAGAAAAATGAAAAACTCTAATGGCCATCCAAAATGCACAACTCTAATGGCCATCCAGCTTTGCTTAAAAACCTCTCGAGAAGGAGATTCCAACACATTTCATAGAGAGTTGGAAGAGACCGTGTAGGCCATCCAGTCCAACCCCCTGCTTTGCAGAAAAAGCACAATCAAAGCACTCCCAACAGATGGTCATCCAGCCTCTGTTTAAAAGCTTCCAAGGAAGGAGCTTCCACCGGACTCCATGGCAGAGAGTTCCACTGTTGAACAGCTCTCCTTACAGTCAGGAAGTCCTCCCAAATAATATTCAGGTGGAATCTCCTTCCCTGTCATTTGGACCCATGTCTCCATTCAGTCCTGGCATCCAGGGCAGCAGAAAACAAGCCTGCTCCCTCCTCCTTATGGCACCCTTTCACATATTCATACATGGGTATTTTGGTGCCTAGAGAGCCTAGAGAAGACAATTATGCTGGGGAAAGTGGAAGGCAAAAGGAAGAGGGGCCGACCAAGGGCAAGATGGATGGATGGCATCCTTGAAGTGACTGGACTGACCTTGAGGGAGCTGGGGGTGGTAACGGCCGACAGGGAGCTCTGGCGTGGGCTGGTCCATGAGGTCACGAAGAGTCGGAGACGACTGAACGAATGAACAACAACATTTTGGTGCCATACCACCGAGAGGTTGCCAAAGGTACCACCGTTTAGTTCTTTCTATTATACCTCTCTCCAGATCTTCCTACTGTTAATAAAACAACTGCAAACAGGCAGATACCAGGTATTTTTGTGCCATCCCTCTGCTGAGTAAATAGAAGTGCTCAGTGCAATGGGATCCTGGCAGTTGGAGTTTTACAAGGTCTTTAGCTTTAGCTTAGATGGAGATGGCACTGCCTGACCTTACCCAAATAGACACCCCTATAATTTATCTGAGACTTGCAGTGCCATCTTTACCTGCAGAAAAGGGCATGAAGTAGGCGCTCTTCCTGAAGGTCCCGTCTTTGTTCAGGAAATGATGTGGGTCAAACTTTGTGGGGTTGGGAAACTCCTTGTCATCATGCAGCACTGAAGTCAAAAGAGGAAACACCGTGGTGCCCTGCAGAGAATAAAGAATCCAGGGGGATGATTGGTTCAGCATCAAAACCTTTTGTTGAGAATCAGCCTGTGTTTGTGTTTCAGGATGCTGATGTGGGAAATGATGAGAGAAATGATGGTGCCAAAGCTGAGGTACAAGATGGAGATGGTTTGGTGAATGATTTTCAGGCAGACAATGACAGAGAGGCCCCAGTGCAAAGGGCAGTTTCTCATGAGAATATCCCTGCTGGGCCCAGCAATGAAGGTTCACTCCCTCTCTCTGTGAGCTTTCAAGATTTGGGGTTGGAAAACAATCTGGCACCTGGGAATTTTAATGAGCTGCCAGATAGGGAGCTGAAGAATAGGCGGCTGGAGATTAGCAAGGATTGACAGTAAAGTCAGTATTTACATTGCTTTGAAAGGCTTCGACTGATAAGGGGTAAATGTGGGGGAAAGCGAAACCAATTTCTGAGTTTTGGGATATAAGGTTTGCCTCAAGGGGAAACCTGTTAGATCAGGCATCATTTGGAAACCAAGTTCATGTGTCATGGAAATCCTGTTCAAGGGGTCTTGTTCCTGTGGAGTTTCTTTAGCCTTTTGGATTGTCTTTGCATCCTGTTGATTCCTGTCTGGATTAATGCTGTCTTGGGTTGCTTTTGTTTCTTGTGTGGACATTGCTTTGTGCAACTGCCTTTTATGGACTTAGTATTTTTTGGAACCTTCTTATTTACTTACAAGCATTTATTTCTTCTGGCTATTTACTAAGCTTCAATAAAAGAAGATTTGTTTCTTCACACTTCATGTGGTGTGTTTTGAAGTCAGAGGGCTTTCTCCTGACCTGGAGTGCAACAACTTTACTCTGAGCAAACTCCTCACAATTGTTTAAATCCGTGGATCCCAACCTGTGGGTCCTCAGATGTTTTGGCCTACAACTCCCAGAAATTCCAGCCAGTTTCTGGGAGTTGAAGGTCAAAATATCTGGGGATCCACAGGTTGAAAACCACTGCTTTAAGTCTATCCCCTATATAAGGACATTAAGGACCCTGCTCATGGCACAAGGGCATTGAGGAACCCTACACATCCCACCACCATGGGTGATTCAATTGGGGGGGGGGGGTTGAGTTTTGTGGCTCCCTCCCAAAATGCAAAAAAAATGAAATGCACACCTAGGGACTCCTGGCTTGACAGCACTATGGGTGAAAGGAACCTCGGAGCTACTAAACCAAGCCAGGAATCAACAGTGTGATGCAGCTGCTAAAAATCCCAGCCAGTTTACCAGCTGTTAGGATTTCTGGGAGTTGAAGGCCAAAACATCTGGGGACCCACAGGTTGAGAACCACTGGGCAGGCCCCCTACTCAGGGCACAAGGACATTGAGGAACCCTACACATCCCACCACCATGGGTGACTCAGTTGGCAGGGTGAGGTTTGTGGGTCCCTTCCAAAAAGAAAAAAAAACATGAAATGTGCACCCAGGGACTCCTGGCTTGACAGCACTATGAGTGAAGGAGACCTAGGAGCTACTAGGCCAAGCAGCTGAACAGGAATCAACAGTGTGATCCAGCTCCTAAAAAGCCAATGTGATTCCAGACTGCATCAAGAGGAATCTAGTATCTAGACCAGTGGTTCTCAACTTGGGTCCCCAGATGTTTTGGCCTTCAACTCCCAGAAATCCTAATAGCTGGTAAACTGACTGGGATTGCTGGGAGTTGTAGGCCAAAACACCTGGGGACCCACAGGTTGAGACTTCACCTGGAATCATCCTCTTCTGGGAAAATCAGTTCAAGAAGGAGACAGGCAAACTGGAAGGTGTCTCGAGAAGGCTGGCCAAAGATAAGGAAGGAAGAATCCTTCTGAAGGCCGTGTGGGTTTCGGTTGGGTTTTCCTTTTGAAGGGGGTTGGACGGCATGGTCCTGGGGGTATGAAAAAAATATGAAATGTGCACCCAGGGACTCCTGGCTTGACAGCACCATGAGTGAAAGAGACCTAGGAGCTACTAGGCCAAGTAGCTGAACAGGAAACAACAGAGTGATGCAGCTCCTAAAAAGCCAATGTGATTCCAGACTGCATCAAGAGGGCTTACCTTGGGGATGGTGTATCCTCTGAACAGTGTGTCTTTGTTCACTGAATGGGGAAGACTGAGCGGGATGAGAGAGATGAACCTCTGGATCTCATGGATGACCGCGTCCGTGTAGGGCATCTGTCCACGGTCAGCCATGCAAGGAGCTCGCAAGCGGCCAACCACCCGGTCAATCTCCTCTTGCACTTTCTCTGCCAGGAGAAGGATGAGATTCAACACCAGGAAACCAACATGCACGAAACACCAGAGGAATCCTGTAGGATCTTCATTTGCTTTACCTTCTATCTCTGGGTACTTCTGGAGGATGAGGAGCCCGTATCTGAGGGTGGTGCTGGTCGTTTCAGTCCCTGCTCCAAACAAGTTAATGGCAGACATTAGCAAATTCTCAATCGTGAACTCGGAAGCCTCGTTGTCCTTTTCCTGGAGAAATATGAATCAGAAGCTATGGAATCCATGTAGCTTCATTAAACCATGTACAATAGCAGTAAAATACAACTAAGGCCAAAAATAAAGCTAGATAAGAAATGTCTCTCAAGGATGTTGCATCCCCAAATTGTTGCAGAATTGCAAACAATTTGACGGAGGAAGAAAGGTGGGAGGCTTTTAAGGAAGACAATGTGGACCCCCAAGAACGTTTTCCCTCGAGGCTCCTAAAACCATTGCAAAGCCATCTTACTTGAGTCCCACCAGGCCTTATTGAACATGCTTTGAGAAAGTTGAATATATATGTGTATACTAGGCCTGGGTAACAACGGAAAAATTTGTTTCTAAAATCGATTTGTATTTGGGGTTTTTTTTGTTTCGATATTTAAAATAATTACAAAATTTTCCCTTAAAAAAGTTCGGTATTTACGAAATTTCGTTAATATTAACGAATCAATTCGTTAAAATGGCGGACGCGGTTGCGCGACGTGAAAATAATAGTTTTAAATAATAGTTTTAACCTCGGAGAAGGAAAGAGGGGGGAAAGAGAGAGAGAGGAGGGGTGAAACAAACCACTTTCTGCCTTCGTGAATGTAAGGGACATTCAAAGCAGTACTGAAAGATGGCCATCCATTCTTAATAATAATAATAATAATAAATATAATTAATATAATAGTTTTAACCTGGAGAAGGAAAGGGGGGGGGGGAAGGAGAGAGAGAGGAGGGTGGGTGAGATCTCTATTCTGGTTTGACAATGCTTCTTCTCAGGAATAATAATAATAATCATAATAATAATCATAATAATAATAACAACAAACCACTTTCTGCCTTCGTGAATGTAAGGGACAGTCAAAGCAGTACTGAAAGATGGCCATCCATTCTTAATAATAATAATAATAATAATAATAATAATAATAATAATAATAAATATAATAGTTTTAACCTGGAGAAGGAAAGAGGTTAGGCAGGCAACAGGCTGGTCTCTGAGTGCTGCACTGCTGTGTCTCTTTGCCCAATGCACGCCGGCCAGAGTGAGGAAGGAGGTGAGGTGACGACAGGAGGAGAGGAGAATTTGATCCACTTAAGCAGAGGCCAGGGACCCGGAAGTGGGGTAAATGCCGACCGCTTGCAACCAGGGAGAGGGGAGGGAAACAACTATAAAACTTGCACCAGACACATACGGAAATAATAACGAAACAATAACAAAACAATTACGAAATAGCTTTAAAAATTCGTTTCATTTTTTAGTTGCTCCTGGATGGTTTGTTATCGCTTCGTTTACCCAAAAAATAATGAATTATTAACAAATTACGAAATTAACGAACGAAACCGCCCAGCCCTAGTGTTTAGGTCTCTGCAGCTTCAGAGACATTTTGCTTCTTGATCGGTTTATTTCCTATTTTCAAACATGCCTCCCTTGTTTGTTTTTCTGTAAAAAATTTGGAACTCCAAGGGTTTGGAGGGTTAGAACTGCACATCTCCATACCTCTGGATTTCCAAAGGACCGAAGTACTATCCATACAAGCACTCCCTTACAAGTATCTCCGCTTCATTTCAAAGATATAGAATGGGGGACAATGCCTGGCTCGAGAGCAGGACATGCACACGTACTGCTCTCAAACCAGGCATTGTCCCCCATTCTATAACTTTGCATTTCGTTTTTCCTGCCAAAGTGGAGCATCTTGCATTATGTACTCAAGCTTATCGGGAGGGGAGGAGGATTAGGAACTTGACTTAAATTTTGACTCAGCTAATGGAGACTTACCTCAGCCCAGGTGGCCTATTGCTAATTGTATGACACATTTAAAATGTGCTAATTACCTAGGATTATTATTAGAGTAATTAGAGAAATGTGTCCCAATTATTTTATCTTATATATTTAAATTTCTCACTTGTTATTTTGAGTTGTAATATAAGTATATCCTGATGTTTTCTATTTGATTGTTTATAGTGTGAACTGTTTTATTTTGCAATGTTCTTTTTGACACTGGATGTTGGCCGATTTTTGTTGTCTATAGTGTTTATATAGTTAGTCCCTTTTGGGAGATAGGGTGGGATAGAAATAAATCATCATCATCATTATCATCATCATCATCATCATCAAACCTTATTTGTACCCCACTACCATCTCCCCAAGGGAATCAGTGCGGCTTACATGAGGCCAAGCCACAACACATCAATAAACAAAAGCAATAACAATAATCAATACAAAACAGTTAAAATAAACTCAAAACAGAAAATATACAGTTATTATCATCATCAAGTTAAACATGAGCCAGGAATGTGATGTGCTCCCCATGCTCTATTCTGCCTTGGTTAGACCACTTTACCTGGAATCACATTGTGTCCAATTCTGGACACCACAATTCAAGAGAGATATTGACTCTAAGTTGGAATGTGTCCAGAGGAGGGCGACTAAAATGATCAAGGGTCTGGAGAACAAGCCCTATGAGGAGCGGCTTAAGGAGCTGGGCATGTTTAGCCTGAAGAAGAGAAGGCTGAGAGGAGAAATGATAGCCATGTATAAGTATGTGAGGGGAAGCCACAGGGAGGAGGAGGGAGCAAGCTTGTTTTCTGCTTCCCTGGAGACTAGGACGCAATGGAGCAACGGCTTCAAACGACAAGAGAGGAGATTCCATCTGAACACGAGGAAGAACTTCCTGACTGTGGGAGCCGTTCAGCAGTGGAACTCTCTGCCCCGGAGTGTGGTGGAGACTCCTTCTTTGGAAGCTTTTAAACAGAGGCTGGATGGCCATCTGTCAGGGGTGATTTGAATGCAATATTCCTGCTTCTTGGCAGAATGGGGTTGGACTGGATGATGGCCCAGGAGGTCTCTTCCAACTCTTTGATTCTATGATTCTATCATCATTATCATCCAGGGAGCCTCCAATGTGTCTTACAAGCAATAACATCCCAAATTGCTGAAGAAGAATGCTGAGAATTAAACCAAACTTTAATTAAAGAGTTTGGCACAAAAACTTCTGGAGGAGACAGCACAAGATGGCAGGGGAGCAAGGGGATGCTTTCTAGACCAAGAGGGTCGGACCCATGTTCATAGAAGGCCACATCTGCCTTATGGTTGCCCTTGAAGGACCTTTGAATCCATGGATAAAGAATCAGTGGCCAACTATACTGTTTTTACAAAGTGTCTGGTGCTCTTTAGTTTTTACTCAGTTTGGGTATCCAGATGTTGTTGAACAAAAACTCCCATTCCTTTTGTTGATCCACCAACTGGACTGGGGATAATGGGCATGGCAACCCAACAGCACTTGTGGCTCTGAGGTTGGGGAAAGGGTAAAGGACATTTTGAGGTCATGTCATATCATATCCACAAGCCTTGTATCTAAATGTAACTGCCACTCTCCTGACCAAATAGAGCCAATGCAACCTTCCAGATGTTCCTGCATCCTAACTCCCATCCTGCTCTCGTCATGATGCCTAATGATGAGGAACACAGGAGTCATAATCCCACACCTGGAGAAGGGCCACAGAAAAGGACACGGAGGACTAGATTTGACTTGCAGGCCTTGAGGGTTCAATTAGATGGAGACCATCCTCCTGGGCAACCCAGAGTCCTCCTGCCTTGAAGGGTCCATGAGGTGGTCTAAGTCTTACCTGGTCCATTTTGATATAGAAGCAGTCGATGAAGTCCCGAGGGGAGGCGGGGTCCAGGGTCTCCCTGTGGGCTTCCACTTCCTCCATGACAAATGCTCTGCCTTTGCCAAAGTTTTTCCACACTCTTTGATGAGGCCCAGGGATGAGGTCCATGAAGGAAGGGAAAAGAATGGCCAGCTGGAGGGAAGGCAGAAGGAAGGCGTTGAGATGGACATTGACTTCACACCCCAAGGACAACCAGGTGTCCTTCTATATAGGTCTAGGGCATGAGAACCAGAGGGATGGAGACCAAGTCCTAGGGTGCATCTCCACTGCAGGATGAATGCAGCTTGGCACAACCATGGCTCAATGCTGTGGGATCCTGGGAGTTCTAGTTTAGCCTTCTCTGCCTCACCAAATGACACCTCCTAGGATTGCACAGCACTGGGCCAGGCAATTAAAGTGATGTCATACTGCTTCAATTCTTCAGTAGAGATTAAAAAAAAATATTATTGAGCACATAGTATCACAATCTGTGAATACATAATTAACAACCCAGGGAGTTGGATTGACTGGCCCATGAGATCTCTTCCAACTCTATCATTCTATGATTCTATGAGCTGTTAGATGGATACTAGGCATGGGTAGGTACAGTCGTTATCTTCTTAAATCGTTATTATTTCGGGGGGAAATTTATTATTTATTTATTTATTTACTGCATTTGTTGACCGCCGTTCTCAGCCCTAGGGCGACTCACGGCGGTGTACAACATATAAAAACAGTTTACAATAAAGCAATAACACAACGAAATATCAACATAACTATCAATAATACAACCATAATATAATTACACTAAATCATCTGCGCCGTCTCATCGTAGAATCATAAACCAATCTCATAATCCATATTCCGTTCCAGTCGTCATTGCCAATTGTTGTAGCACTTAGTTAAACGCCTTCTCAAATAACCATGTCTTTAGGCTCTTGCGGAATGACATAAGGGAGGGCGCCTGTCTGATGTCTACAGGGAGGGTGCTCCACAGCCGGGGGGCCACCACCGAGAAGGCCCTATCTCTCGTCCCCGCCAGACGTGCCTGCGAGGCAGGCGGGATCGAGAGAAGGGCCTCCCCAGACGATCTCAAGGCCCTTGTGGGCTCGTAGGTCGAGATGCGGTCAGACAGGTATTTTGGGCCGGAACCGTTTAGGGCTTTGTAGGTCAACACCAGCACCTTAAATTGGGCCTGGTAGCAGATCGGCAGCCAGTGGAGCTGGAACAACAAGGGCGTTGTATGCTCCCTGCGTCCCGCTCCTGTTAGTAACATGGCTGCCGCGCGCTGGACTAGCTGAAGCTTCCGGGCCGTCTTCAAGGGCAGCCCCACGTAGAGAGCGTTGCAATAGTCAAGGCGGGATGTGACCAGAGCGTGTACCACCGTGGCCAAGTCAGACTTCCCGAGGTACGGGCGCAGCTGGCGCACGAGCCTAAGCTGTGCAAATGCTCTCCTGGTCACCGCTGAAACCTGGGGATCCAGGCTCAACGATGAATCCAGGATCACACCCAAGCTGCAACCTGCGCCTTCAAGGGGAGTGCGACCCCATCCAGCACAGGCTGTAACCCTATACCCTGTTCGGCCTTGCGACTGACCAGGAGTACCTCTGTCTTGTCTGGATTCAATTTTAATTTGTTCATCCTCATCCAGACCATTACAGCCACCAAGCACCGGTTCAGGACCTGAACAGCCTCCTTAGTAGCAGGTGGAAAGGAGTGACAGAGTTGGACATCATCTGCGTACAGATGACACCGCACCCCGAAACTCCGGATGATCTCACCCAGCGGCTTCATGTAGATGTTAAACAGCATGGGGGACAGTATAGAGCCCTGTGGAACCCCACAGGTCAAAGGCTGTGGTGTTGAACAGGAGTCCCCCAATAACACCTTCTGGGTGCGGCCCTCCAGAAATGACTGGAGCCACTGCAGAGCAGTGCCCCCAAGACCCATTTCCAAGGCGCCCCAGAAGGATATCGTGGTCGACGGTATCGAAGGCCGCTGAGAGGTCCAGGAGCACCAACAGGGACACACTCCCCCTGTCTAGCTCCCGGCGCAGATCATCCACTAAGGCGACCAAGACCGTCTCAGTTCCATGTCCCGGTCTGAAACCAGACTGTGCCGAATCCAGATAATCCGTGTCTCTCAAGAATACCTGGAGTTGTGAGGCCACCACGCTTTCCATGACTTTGCCCAAAAAGGGGAGATTGGAAACAGGCCAAAAGTTGTCAAATTTAGTGGGGTCCAATGATGGTTTCTTCAACAGCGGTTTTATAATAGCTTGTTTTAAGCTCGCTGGAATCTTGCCTTCCCGGAGGGAGGCATTAACCACCACCGTTACCCACTCAGCCAATCCCCCTCTGGCCTCCTTCAGAAGCCAGGATGGGCAGGGGTCTAGGATGGACGTGGTGGGCCTCATTCCTCCACGTATCTTGTCCACATCCTCGGGCTTCACAAACTGAAAAGAATCCATCAAAATAGGACAAGCAGGTGCTCGTGTCACATCCTCAGAGACTGCATTTAACATGGTGTCCAGCCCAGAACGGATCAAGGCGACTTTGTCTGCAAAGAACCGAGCAAATGCTTCGCAGCGCGTGGCCGAATTGTCAGGGCTCCGCCTGAGGTGGCGGGAGTTAAAAGACCTCTGACAATCCGGAACAACTCCGCCGGACGGTTCCTTGCAGACGCAATTGTGGCCGCAAAGAAAGTTTTCTTTGTGGCTTTTATTGCCACGGCATATGCCCTTAGAAAGGACACAAACCGTGTTCGATTTGACTCGCTCGGATCCGAACGCCACACGCTCTCTAGTTCCCTCTTCCTTCGCTTCATCACTGCCAGCTCCTCAGTAAACCAAGGAGCTGGTTTAGCTCGGCTACTTGAGAGGGGACGTTCCGGAGCGATCATGTCAACTGCCCTGGCCATCTCCCCATTCCAGAGAGCGACCAAGGCCTCGACATGGTCACCTACCGAGGTGGCGGGAACATCCCCAAGAGCCGTCAGGAATCCATTCGGATCCATAAGCCTCCTGGGGCGGACCATCTTAATGGGTCCTCCACCTTTGCAGAGGTTAGGGGGCGCAGTGAGCCTAAATCTGATCAGGAAGTGGTCAGTCCATGGCAACGGAGAGATGGACAACTCCTCCACACCGCCACCCTGCTCCCATCCCTGGCAGAAAACCAAGTCCAATGTATGTCCAGCACAGTGGGTGGGGCCAGATATTTGTTGGGACAGCCCCATGGTTGCCATGGCAGACATGAAGTCCTGAGCCGCTCCTGTGAGGGTCGCCTCGGCATGGATATTGAAGTCTCCCAGCACGAGAAGCCGTTGAGACTCCAACGCCAGGCTCGAGACTACCCCCGCTAGCTCAGGTAGGGAGACTGTAGTGCAGCAAGGTGGACGGTACACTAGCAGAATCCCTATTCTGTCCCGGTCACCCACCCTCAGGTGGACGCATTCAAAATTTGTGGTCTGCGGGATGGGACTCCTGGTCAGATGGATGGAATCTCTATAGACCACTGCGACCCCGCCTCCCCATCCTCCGGATCTCGGTTGGTGCTGTACGGAGAAACCTGGAGGACAAAGCTGGGTGAGATTCACGCCTCCAGCTTCATCCAACCAGGTCTCCGTGATGCACGCCAGATCTGCCCGCTCATCCAGGATTAGATCCTGGATAAAGGTCGTTTTTCCGTTGACAGATCTGGCGTTCAACAGCACCACCTTCAATCCGGAGGGCCCGCCAGCCTGGTTACACCAATTTACCTTAGGAGACCGGTTTGGGATTATTAATGTAGATAAGCGGTCCGAATTAGGCCGAATTTGAGGTCTCCTTTTTCCGCATCTCCCCCTCCCCACCACGACCTCTATGGGGGCCCCTCGGCTAGTGGAACACCTCCCCTCCTCCATGCCGCAGTCCAAATCCAAGGTCTTAGTTTCTGTTTCGCTAGTTGTTTGGTTTGTTGGCGTTTTTTCTTGCCAACTCCCTTGATTCCCTTTCTCCCCCCTCCCCACCTCATTGTTGTCCACAGACTCCAGCCCACTTCCTCCCTTGCCCCTTCCACTAGTCACTAATATCAAGGACAATACAAATAGGGGAATGGGGAACCACATGGGTAATAATAGTACACTTCAGTAAGATTGATAGTGATAAAGTGTAATAAACGTCTCAGCCGCGACAGTTAGATAGTTCATAAAGTGCAAGAGTCTTAAAGTGCAACACAGTAGGCGTCACAGCTGCGTGCCACTAGGGCAATTCATAAAGTGCAAGGATCTTAAAGTGCGACAAAATACCCAAATCTGGCCCTCAGCGCTATCTAAAGTGCGGCATGGAGGGATAGGGGAAGGGAGCGTAAGTGCTAGTACAATTTAGCAGCAAAAGAGGCAGGCGCCTTAAAGTGCTATATTGCGTTCTTAGTACCAATTAGCAGCAAGGTAGACAAGGAACGTGCTATGTTAGCAATATGTAAACACAGTATTAAGGAGATTGGCAGTGATATCAGTTTGGTAAAGTTGTTATGATTCAAGGTGTAATCTATGGACGGCTGATGTAAAGTAGCGAATGAGTCTCTCAGTCTTCCGGAGATGGTCAACACGGCGGTGGTCAGCACAATTGGTCTATCACAATATCGGTCAGCACAGATAAAGGTCAGCCCAAAAAGGTCTACACAATATCGGTCAACACAGAAAAGGTCAGCACAAAAAGGTCTACCCGCGGCTTATCCAGATGGTGGAGGCCCAGATGGTAGAAGATGGTAAAGGCCCAGGCGGCCAGGGCCCGGCTCATGTAGCCCAGGGCCCAGTTCAAGTAGCCCTCGCGGTGCAGCGGCCCACCTGGTAAGGCCCGGGCAGTAGAGGCCTAGCGTCTGGTATAGGCCCAGATGGTAGAAGCCCAGTTGGGAGGGGCGACAATGTTGGGCAATGTTGGGCCCGGCGGCGAGGCGTCTTGTACAGGCCAGATGGTGAAGGCCCAGCTGGTAAGGCCCAGATGGTAAGGGCCCAGCCGGAACGATGCTCACAACGCAGTGGCCTGCTTGGTAGGCCCAGGTGGCAGAGGCTTAGCTGGAGCAGCGTTCGCGGCCGCGGCAGCTTCGGCCACCGTAGTAGGCCCCAACGGAGGGGCGGAGGGGAAGAAAAGGCCCAGATGGTAGAACAGCAAAGGCCTAGGCGGCCAGGGCCCGACTCAAGCAGTCCCCGCGGCGCGGTGGTCCGCCTGGCACAGGCCCCGCAGTGGAGGTCCAGCCAAGCGAGCGTTCACGGCGCTCGCGGCGGCGGCCTCGGCGCCGGTTGCTGCAGAGTCTCGGCTCACTCTTCCCCAGCACCCCGCAGAGGGAACGGGCCGGCTCTTGGCGGCGGTGGCGGTCTGCCTTGACAAGGGCGACCGCGATTGTAACAATCTGCCTCCTCTCGGCCTCCCGGCTGCCTCTCCCTCCAGCAGCCTCTTCCTCGCGGCAGCAAGACAGCAAGGCCCGACAGCGCCGGCAAGATGGCGACCGCGGCGCGCACAGCAGCGGCCCGGCAGCAGCCGGCAGCAGCCCAGGCGGCAATGGGAGAACTCACCAGCGGGAACCGCAGCACCGGGATCGGGGCACAGGCAGATCGACCAGGTGGACAGCCGACCAGGCCCTCACCAGGTAGGTTTCTTGAGGAGGGAGCCGGCCGCGTTGCAATGGTGGCGCTCCCTTGCCTACCTCCGCCTTCCTGGTCCTTTTTCTCGGCTCCTTGGCTCTTTCAAGCTCTCTCAGGTTCAGCACGACCGTGGCGAGTGCTGATCTCACCCCCTCCTTAATTTGGTGGTCAGGGAGGGAGGATTTTCTAGGATTCCCTAGGATTGTTCTTTTTTGTCAGCGCAGCTCAGCGTTGCTGCTGCTGACCGCCATACAGGAACCTTTTGAACCAATTTCGAGCCATGCAGGAATAGTGGGAGGAGTAATTCCGAATTTAAACCACTTACCCATTGTTCGGAATTATTTTCGGATGTCTCCCACAGTTATTTTGGTTTTTAGAACAATTAATCAATATTTATTTATTTATTTATCACTTCGCTTATATACCGCAATTCTCAGCCTAATGGCGACTCATTGCGGTGTACAACATGGAAAAACAGGTGCAAAAATACAACATACAAAAAATAATACACAGTACATCATTATCAAAACATCTCATCAAAAACATCAATATAACTACAAGCCATTCCGAGTCGTCTCATCGTCAAGTTCACAATCCAATATCATTTCCGTTGTTCCATTCCTATGGTCGAGTTACCCGTCATTGCACTACTATTCAAATGCCTTCTCAAACAACCAGGTCTTTAACTTCCTGCGGAATATCAACAGGGAGGGGGCTAGCCTGATGTCTACGGGAAGGGTGTTCCACAGCCGAGGAGCCACCACCGAGAAGGCCCTATCTCTCGTCCCCGCCAGCCGTGCCTGTGACGCAGGCGGGATCGAGAGCAGGGCCTCCCCGGAAGATTCATAGGCCGAGAGGCGGTCAGTTAGGTATCTTGGGCCGGAACCGTTTAGGGCTTTATAGGCCAATGCCAGCACCTTGAATTGAGCCCGGTAGCAGATCGGCAGCCAGTGGAGCTGGTACAGCAGGGGGGTTGTATGCTCCCTGCGGCCCGCTCCTGTTAGTATCATGGCTGCCGCACATTGGACCAATTGGAGCTTCCGAGCCGTCTTCAAGGGCAACCCCACGTAGAGAGCGTTGCAGTAGTCTAAACGGGATGTAACCAGAGCGTGGACTACCGTAGGCAAGTCAACAAATCAAATCATTTATTTCGGTCATTGACCAGCACAGGAAATAGAGTCACATTTTCATACAAACTTGGTATGTTTGGTACATTAAAAATATAAAGCACAATATGGATGAGGGAGCGGGAGGGAAGGGGAAACAGGGTAAAACATACAATGCCCAGATCCATCACCAAATTGTAGATTCAGAGAAGAAGATTACTGGACACACAGTTAACTTTTGGGACTCGTCATTCCCTGACGGATGTTGTATGCTGCTGCACAGAACTTGGCAACATTGTAGGGTGTAGCTCAGTGGTTCTCAACCTTCCTAATGCCGTGACCCCTTAATCCAGTTCCTCATGTGGTGGTGACCCACAACCATATAAATTATTTTCATTGCTACGTCATAACTGTAATTTTGCTACTGTGATGAATGGTCATGTAAAAATGCAAGATGTATTTTCATTTACTTGACCAAATTTGGCACAAATACCCATTATGTCCAAGTTGGAATACTGGTGGGGTTGGAGTGGGGGGAGGATTGATTTTTGTCATTTGGGAGTTGTGGTTGTTGGAATTTATAGTTAACTAACAATATAAGAGCATTCTGAACCCCCCCCCCCAAGGGTGGAATTGAACCAAACTTGGCACACAGAACTCCCATGACTAATAGAAAATACTGGAAGGGTTTGGTGGGCATTGACCTTGAGTTTTGGAGTTGTAGTTCACCTACATCCAGAGAGCACTGTGGACTCAAACAATGATGGATCTGGACCTAGCTTGGCACAGATACTCAATATGCCCAAATGTGAACACTGGTGGAGTTTGAGGAAAATAGACCTTGACATTTGGGAGTTGTGGTTGCTGGGATTTATAGTTCACCAGCAACCAAAGAGCATTCTGAACTCCACCAATGATAGAATTGGGACAAACTTCCCACACAGAACCCCCATGACCAACAGAGAATACTGTGTTTTCCGATGGTCTTTGGTGACCCCTCTGACACCCCCTGGCGACCCCCCCAGGGGTCCCGACCCCCAGGTTGAGAAACGCTTTTGTAGCTGAATTAATATCTGCAAGTAGCAAGGAGGTATAAAATTGTCCTGAATGGCCTGGGTGCTTGTATATCAGAGGTAAGAGAAGCCTGGCACGGATATCCCTGTAGAACGGGCACTGGAGGAGCACATGTTCTATTGTTTCTCCATGACCCGAGTCACAGGGGCAGAGCCTCTCTGGGAAAGGGATCTTCCGGTAGCGGCCTTCCTTGGAGTACAGCTGATGGGAGAGCGTGGCATCGAGCCAGGTGGAAAGCCCTTCGATGAATGGGAACCTCTAAGTTGGTTAAATATGCCATAGGGGAGGCAAGATATCAGCTGTCTTCATTGATATGGAAGGTTGGAACCGAGGCCAGATCTAGTTGTCGCTCTGTGTCTGTGATACGTTGTTTAATAAGTGCTTTGGCTTGATTGTAATCCATAGCGAGTAGTACACCTGGAGAAAATCACAATGAGGAGATTTTGGATGCTACCGCCTGCTTCCATGTGGATTGGTAGTCATCCTTCATGGTTAGTGGGGCAAGGCCAAGAGGTGCACGGGATAGTCTGAGCCAGAGGTTGAGTATGGCCACCCACACCCTGGCCTCCACTCTCATAAAACCCGTCTCTAGTCGAAGGGTGGCATTAGAAACGCATTGAGGGACCTGCAAGCATCTTTGGCAAAGCCTCGCGGTTTCCCTTCTTGAAGGCCACGTTTTAAAATCTCACGGTTTCCCTTCCCTCTTAATTTTGAAATCTCGCGGTTTCCCTTCCCTCTTAATTTTGAAATCTCACGGTTTCCCTTCCCTCTTAATTTTGAAATCTCGCAGTTTCCCTTCCCTCTTAATTTTGAAATCTCGCAGTTTCCCTTCCCTCTTAATTTTGAAATCTCGCGGTTTCCCTTCCCTCTTAATTTTGAAATCTCGCGGTTTCCCTTCCCTCTTAATTTTGAAATCTCGCGGTTTCCCTTCCCTCTTAATTTTGAAATCTCGCGGTTTCCCTTCCCTCTTAATTTTGAAATCTCGTGGTTTCCCTTCCCTCTTAATTTTGAAATCTCGCGGTTTCCCTTCCCTCTTAATTTTGAAATCTCACGGTTTCCCTTCCCTCTTAATTTTGAAATCTCGCGGTTTCCCTTCCCTCTTAATTTTGAAATCTCGCGGTTTCCCTTCCCTCTTAATTTTGAAATCTCGCAGTTTCCCTTCCCTCTTAATTTTAAAATCTCGCAGTTTCCCTTCCCTCTTAATTTTGAAATCTCGCGGTTTCCCTTCCCCAGCTGGCGGTAAACAGCTCTTCCTGAAGGCCACGCCCCCAGTGGCCTTCAGGAAGAGCTGTCATTTAGCCACACCCACCTCATCCCTCTTCATCGCCGCCAGGGAAGGGAAACCGTGAGATTTTAAGCCTGTTTGTTTAGGCTTTCTGACTTTGTCAAACTTACTGAATGGTTCTGGAGGGAGGGGCCGAAACTCAGCCCCCCCCAAACCCCCCCCTGAAAAAAACTCCCCCCCCCCCCCCCCGAATCAAAATCCTGGCTACGGGCCTGCACCTGGAGATACCATAAAAAGCTAATTTCTGCACAGCACATGGAGCAGATGATGTATTTGCAACCAGAAGGCAAAGGACCTACCTGTCCCCAAGGGGAGTTGAGGATCTCAAAGTTTTCATGCATTAAGGCCATGATGGAGAGAAACTTCTTGTCATCATAGTCGTAGTGCTTTCCAAAGACAACGGAGCAGATGATGTTGGAAGTAGCGCAGTTGAGCAGGAAAGTGGGGTCGAAGGGCTGCTCTGGAAAGACAAGAGGCAACAAGGCTTGGTGCTCCGAGCTTGGCCTGGCTGCACTCTCAGGCCTCACCTATCTATTTATTTACGGTATTTATATACTTCCTTTCTCACCCCTGGGGGGACTCAAAGCGGTTTACACATAAATAATGGCAAAATTCAATGCCTTATGTTGGTCACCAATATGATGCCAATACAAACAATTACAATTAAATGTAAATCATAATTAAAACAATACATCAACAAGCATTAAAACAATAAAACAGTTTTGTCAGTCGAATCGCTGTTCCAACCAATGTCCCGCTAAAGTGCTACATACATAGAATCATTGAATCATAGAATCCTAGAATCAAAGAGTTGGAAGAGACCTCCTGGGCCATCCATTCCACCCCCATTTTGCCAAGAAGCAGGAATATTGCATTCAAATCACCCCTGACAGATGGCCATCCAGACATCTACTTTCTGAAGACCTGGTCCCAGAACTATGATTTTAATTTTTTTTCTAAAAGGCAGGAGAGAGGGAGCGGATTTTACCTCATTTGGGAGTGTGTTCCATAGTTGGGGGGCCACATCTGAGAAGGCCCTGTCTCTCATCCCCACCAGGCGCATTTATACTGTTGACGGGAGCGAGGGCAGGGCCTCCCCAGATGATCTTAAATTACAAGGTGGGACGTAGGGGTGGATGCGTTCAGACAAGTAAGCTGGGCCAGAACCGTATAGAGTTTTATAGGTCAAAACCAGCACTTTGAATTGGGCTCAGAGATGGACCGGCAGCCAGTAGAGCTGGCATAACAGGGGGGGGGGGGTATGCCACCCCGGTTAGTAATCTCGCTGCCGCCCGTGGAACTATCTGAAGTTTCCGAACCGTCTTCAAAGGCAGCCCCACGTAGAGTGTGTTGCAGTAATCTATTTGGGATGTAACCAGAGCTTGGACCACCATGGCCAGAAGAGACTTCCCAAGGTACGGGCACAACTGGCACACAAGTCTTAGTTGTGCAAAGCTCCTCTGGCCACCGCCGAGACCTGGAGTTCCAGGCTCAGCAATGAGTCCAGGATCACACCCAAGCTGCGAACCTGCGTCTTCAGGGAGAGTGTAACCCCATCCAACACAGGCTGTAACCCTATGCCCTGTACAGCCTTTCAGCTGACCAGGAGGACCTCTGTCTTGTCTAGATTTAATTTCAATTTGTTAGCCCTCATCCAGTCCGACACAGCGACCAAGCACCGGTTCAGGACCTGAACAGCCTCCTTAGTAACAGGAGGGAAGGAGTGACAGATTTGGACGTCATCTGCCTACAGATAACACCTTACTCCGAAACTCTGGATGATCTCCCCCAGCGGCTTCATGTAGATGTTAAATAATACCTAGTCTCATATCAAAAGCATTACACTGTGTTAGTAGAAGATTAGCTGCCTTGGTGGCCAATCCATCTTGTAGCAGGTTACCTGCAGCAAATGGAGGCATCCCAACCCTTCTGTTGGTGGTTCCAGCATCTCCCTCAGTAAAGAAGACCCTGACCATCCCTGGGCCAAGACTATAGATGAGGAGAGATAAGAGCTCCCTTGGGATAAATTAGACTCCCCTCTATGCAAGTAGGAACAGGAGATGATCAACCTCTGAAGGTCTTCTTGGGAAAGAACCAAGGGAAGCATAACAGAACAAGACTGACCCACCTCCCACCTTCTTCATTGTGAGTGGTATGAGCAGGTTGCTTGGAGGAAGGGATTCGAATCTTGTCTCTAGAGTCAGTCCAATATTCAAACTACTAGACCAGACTCAATCTCTAGAAATGGAAACCCCTTTCTCTTCTGGGTTTGGTGTAGAAGTGCCAGACGTGGCAATATGCCTCCAATTCTAAGAGAGGGACCCTTGACATAAATGACCTAGAACGCCCAGAAAACATCATGCCATAGATTAGACCTGCATTACATCTGGCCCACAAGATGGACTTCCCCTTTACTGGCTTGGCCTTTATCCTGTAATAGATCCTTCAAGGTCTTGGTGGGAAGTTCTAGGAACTGGATAAGATCCTGTTGCTCACAAGCAGTCAAAATCGTCCCAAGACTAAGATGTAAGCAAGTGTCTGAGTTTCAAGACTCTCTGTCTTTGGTGCAACACAAGAACATAAGTGGTTGGTGATGCAACAAAATGGTGGTGGTTGACCCAAGCTCCCCACCTTTTGTGCCCTGGAACTGCTCCAGGAGATACTGAGCTTCTTCTTGGATCCTCTCCTCGATGCTCTTCTTCCCCATCCCAAAGTTGCGGAGGGTGGTCAGGGCAAAGCGCCGGAGCTGCTTCCATCCTTCCCCATTGTTGAATATGATCCCTGGAAAGGGAAGAGAAGAACAGAAGAACATTTAACATACACATATTAGCAAGAGAAAAGTATCTTCTGCCCTGGAGACTAGGACTCAATGGAGCAGTGGGTTCAAAGGATAGGGATGAAGATTCCACCTGAAAATTAGGAAGAACTTCCTGACTGTGAGAAGACCTGTTCTGCCTCAGAGTCTGGTGGATGTCCAACGAACTTCTAACTGTGCTAAGACACGAAAGAGACATGCACAAGAAGTGGAAAAAGGGAGAAATCACCAAAGAAGAATTCAAACAAATAGTAGGGAAAAGGTCCGCAAGGCTAAAGCACAAAATGAGCTCAGGCTTGCCAGGGACATTAAAAACAATAAAAAGGGCTTCTTTTCTTATTAGTAGAAAAAGGAAAAACAAGGAGGTGATAATTTAATTATTTGTAAGTGTGATTTTTATTGATTTTTATTTATGTATTTTATTTTATAAATTAATTATTTTTTATTAATTTTTCTTTATTTATTTAATGTATTTTAATTTCACACTAAATTTATTTTAATTTGATTTTGATTAGTTGTTGTTAGTTTTATCACCAACAGTCAACAACAAAGGGAGAGGGAAGCTCCAGAAGTTTCCTCTGTCCCGTTTGCAGGTTTTTCGCATATTACGCAATCGTGTCCGCTATTAACGAAGTGATTCGGATATTTACGAAATTTCGGAAATTTTGACATTTTTAAATCGGAAATTTCGGAAATCCTTTCAGATTAGAAACGCGGGTGCCCCTATATACGAAACGAGTTAAGAACCATTTTTTTCTTGATCAACCAAGCCTATATATATATTAGCTGTCCCTTGCCACGCGTTGCTGTGGCCCACATGGGGGTTCTGTGTGGGAGGTTTGGCCCAATGCTATCGTTGGTGGGGTTCAGAATGCTCTGTAATTGTAGATGAACTATAAATCCCAGCAACTACAACTCCCAAATATCAAGATTCTATTTTCCCCAAACTCCATCTGTGTTCACATTTGGGCATATTGAGTATTCGTGTAGAGTTTGGTCCATGTCCATCATTGTTTGAATCCACAGTGTTCTCTGGATGGAGGTGAACTACAATTCCAAAACTCAAGGTCAATGCCCACCAAACCCTTTCAGTATTTTCTGTTGGTCGTGGGAGTTCTGTGTGTCCAGTTTAGTTCAATTCCATTGTTGGTGGGTTTCAGAATGCTCCTTGATTGTAGGTGAACTATAAATCCCAGTAACTACAACTCCCAAATGTCCAGGTCTATTTCCCCCAACCTCCATCTGTGTTCCTAGTTGGGCATATGGAATATTCATGCCAAGTTTTGTCCAGATCCATCATTGTTTGAATCCACAGTGCTCTCTGGATGTAGGTGAACTCCCAAACTCAAGGTCAATGCCCACCAAACCCTTCCAGTATTTTCTGTTGGTCATGGGAGGTCTGCGTGCCAAGTTTGGTTCAATTCCATTGTTGGTGGGGTTCAGAATGCTCTTTGAGTGTAGGTGAACTATAAATCCCAGCAACTACAACTCCCAAATAACAAAATTATAATTGTTTGAGTGATGGTCACTCCTTGTGTTGTGAGATGTTTTGATGCCAAATTTGGTGTCATTTCGTTCACTGGTTCTTTTGTTTTTAAGGCACTCATTATGCACAAAGCATTTTTATAGATATAGATATTTAGGCTTGGGCGGTTTCGTTCGTTAATTTCGTAATTCATTATTAATTCGTATTTAAATTAGCTTACGATCCAATATTTAGCCATGCAGGAATTGTGTGAGGAGTAATAAAGATACGAAACAATTTTTTCAATTTATTTCGTAATTATTTCGTAATTATTTTGGCATGTCTGGTGCCAGTTTTATAGTCGTTGTTTGTTTTATCACACCAACAGTCAACAACAGAGGGAGAGGGAAGCTTCAGAAGTTCCCCCTGTCCCATTTGGAGGTTTTTTTAGCATATTGCGCAATCTCGTCCGCCATTAACGAATTGATTCGTAATTTTATGAAATTTCGTAAATTTCGAAATTTTTTAAAGGAAAATTTTGGAATTATTAAAAAAAACGAAATGCAAGGGCCCCCTAAAAACAAAACGAGTTTAGAACCAAATTTTTCCGTGGTTACCCAAGCCTAATAGATATAGATATTAGGCCTGGGTAACAACGGAAAAATTTGTTTCTAAAATCAATTCGTTTTTTTGGGGTTTTTGCGTTTCGATATTTAAAAGAATTCCGAAATTTTTCTTTTAAAAAGTTCGATATTTACGAAATTTCGTAAATGTAAAAAAAATTACGAAATATTAACGAAACAAATACGAAACAATAACGAATCGATTCGTTAATGGCGGACGCGACCGCGCAATACACTAAAAAACCTCCAAATGGTACAGGGGGAACTTCTGAAGCTTCCCTCTCCCTCTGTTGTTGACTGTTGGTATGATATTATAAATTTTTTTCACTAATTAAACAAAAAACAACTATAAAACTTGCCCCAGACATGCGGAAATAATAACGAAATGACCTCAAACCGATAACGAAACAAATACATAACGAATCCGAAGCATTTACGAAACGAATTTAAAAATTCATTTCGTTTTTAAGTGTTGGAAATAACTTGATCCACAGCTAATGAACCATATAACAAACTGATTTTTCTTTCATGCCAAACCTGCAATATTAGAGACTTTAAAAGAGCTCCAAAGTCCTGAACGCTTTTTGAGACAGCAAACTCTGCTGCCAGGAACGGCTTGAGATAAAGACCATTCTGGCAGTGGGGCAGAGAGAGGAAACAGTTTGCAGGACGAGAGCATTTCGGAATGGCTTCAGAGGCCCTGAATTCCACTGACTCCAAACTGGATAAATTGATGGAAATGGTTCAGGGGCTACAAAACTCAATGGGACAACTTGCCCTTGAGGTCAGAGATACTAAAGAGCAGGTACAGCTCTTACTTCAGAAGCAGAAAGGGTCTGAAGCGAAAATTGAAGCCTTAGAACAAAATGTACAGTTTCTCAATCAAAAAATAACAGATTTGGAAAATCGTCAGAGATGCCGAAATCTTATTCTAACAAGCATACCAGAGTATAAAAGTGATAAAGATCTGATCAAATCCTTGACCCAATGGTGGGAAGAACTTGGAATACCAGCTTCGCCTGATGACATTGAACGTGCACACAGAATACCGTCATATGTAAAGGAAGATAAAAACCAGCATAAACAAAGACCAAGGCCAGTGATAATTGCCTTTGCCAGAGAATCTACTTGTTTAAAAGTCTACAAATCCCTGAGGAAAGTACAGGATTTAAAGTATAATGGAAACAAGGTGATAGTCTTTCAGGACTTGGCAAAATCTACTAGAGATGAAAGAGCTTCCCTCAAGGTCGTAACAGACAGACTCAGAACAGAGAAGATTATGTACACCTGGGCCTTTCCAGCAACTATTGTTATCTACAAAGGAGGAAAAAAACTCACTGCGAGAACTCCACAAGAGGGAATCAAGCTTCTTAGGGACCTGAACTTAACTTGTCCTTTACCCGAGAGACACTCTGCTGAAACAGAATCAGATGGGGAAATCGATCCAACAACTGAGGGAGAGGAAGAAGGAACTGGCTCACACTCGAGGCCAAAACATTTAAAAACAAGAAAGGCCTCAAAGAAAAAAACTGGGAAACATCATGCATCCTCAAACAGGTCACGAACAAGAAGGAACGACAAATAGTGTGGCAGGAGTGATTGTACAGGAAGACTGAAGAAGCGCAGAAAGTATATAATAAATCACTAGTTAGAAATGTTAGAACCTTCATAACTTTGAAAGACATCTAAGACTGAAGAACATTATAATAGAAAAGTACTGTCTGCATCTGAAAATTGCAAAGGTGTATCTGTGTTAAGGTTTTTATGTTAAGGCACTTTTACAATAATGATCACTATGTAAATTCATAAATTATACTGTTAAGTATTTGAAGGAGCTGGAAAGGGAAAGCTGAAGCGGATTTCAGGAAAAGCAATAGTGGATTTACCTTAAGGGATTAATGTTAAGTGGCTCTCACAATAATGATTACAAAATGAATTCAGAAATTATATTGTTATTTATTGGAAGGAACAGCAGAATCTATATTATATAGAATTAGTGGGTGGTTCATAGGTTAAAGGTCAATGCACGGAAGGGGGGAAGTTGCAGCAGGGGACTCTGCCCTCATGAAACTCTGGCCGATGGCGAGGATATTATTCTCAGCCATTCCTCCCTTACTTCAGGGGTGGGAATCAGAGGTCAGATGGGGGAGGGGGGTAAAGGGGGTAAGGGCGGGTAGGGCTATAGGGAAGGGAACAAAAGGAACAGTTAAAAACAGAATAGCAACACGGACTTATAAAAGTTTGTGGAAAGTGACAAAAGAACAAACCAATCATGATGGATGATGGTATCAATATTATGTTGGTAAACACGAACGGGCTTTCGACACCGGTTAAGAGGCACAAATTATCCAAACTGTTAAAGGAAAAACAAGTACATATTGCATTAATTCAGGAATCACACAAAAAAATGGGGGACAAAACCAAATTGCTCAACAATAAAAATTGGGATATACAGTATGAATCGAGGGGCTCAAACAAAGCCAGAGGAGTTGCCATACTAATAAAGGATAATCTAAACTTTGTGCTGGAAAAGGTCATTAAAGATACTGAAGGTAGATTCATAATGATAATAGGTAAAATTAACAATACTCAGGTATCAATAGCAAGTGTCTATGCCCCAAATCAGAAACAAGTAAAATTTATAAACAAAACTTGCTCAAAAATAGAAAAGCATGCAATAGGAGATATAATAGTCGGTGGGGACCTAAATTTACAATTGTACAAAAAAACGAAGAGTAATAGAACTGGAAATTCAGGTACAAATTGTAAGATAAATTTCAGTAAGTGGAACTTAATAGAGGCCAACAATAGAATAGGGGAAAGAGCAGATACCCCAACACACTACTCACATAGGCACTCAACATTTTCTACCATAGACTATTTCCTGGTGGGAATCAACAACACAATGCCAATAAAAGAACTTTTGGTGGGCAATTATTGGCCAGGAGACCATGCACCTCTCTACTTAAAATTAGGAAATTATACCATAAACAAAGTGAAAAAATGGAGATTTAACCCAAAAGTTGCTTATAAAGAGTCAGACAGGAAAGAGATAAATGAACAAATTATTCAGTATTTTAACTTAAACAGAACCCCTGGAATGAAAGAAAACATAGTTTGGGATGCTTTCAAGGCAGTAATTAGAGGAAAGTGTATAACAATCGAGAAGGGAATAAATAAAAGAGAAAATGAAAGATTAAGGAAATTGAGGTCTGAAGTAGAAGAAGCGTTCCAATCATTTCAAAAAGACCAAACAGTGGGGGGGAAAAAGAGATGGATAGAGTTAAATAAACAACTAGAAAACCTGGAGGAAATTGAAAGTACAAAGAAATATATCTGGGTCAAGAACGACTTTCAGACAAACTCCATAAATAACACAAAGAAATTAGCAAATTTCCTAAAAAAGAAACAAGGGAAAACAAAAATCTTTAATTTGAAAGACGAGATGGGCCAAATAAAAACAAGCGAGGAGGACCTAAAGGAAATAATGGCCAATTACTACGAAAAGCTTTACACGAGTAAGGATACAGTGAAATCGGAAGGACTACTCCAAAAAAAATTAGACCCTCTATCCCAAGCAACACTGGACAGGAACATCACTAGCAATGAAATAGAGGAGGTAATAAAGAAATTAAAAATAAACTCTTCACCAGGCCCCGATGGGCTCACTACAAATTTCTATAAAATTTTTCAAAAGGAAGTCACCCCTAATTTACTAATACTATATAATGAAATCATGGAAAATAAACTAATTCCAGAAACATGGAAAAAATCCGAAATTATAACAATTTTAAAACCAAACAAAGAGGGGACTGACCCCAACTCATATAGGCCTATTACTTTATGCAACGTGGACTATAAAATTTTCACAAAAATAATAGCTAATAGGCTGAAAGAGGTAATACCCACTCTAATTGAGGAAGATCAATACGGCTTTATTATAAAAAGAAAGATAGCGGACCCAATTAGAAATATCATAAATATAATTGACCATGCAACTAGAGAGAAAACAAAATTACTTCTAATAAAATTAGATGTTTACAAAGCATTCGATACAATAAATCATAATTATTTGGCTAACTTATGCGAGGAGAGTAACTTAGGAAAAAAGATATGTGGAGTAATTAAGGAACTGTATAAAGATAATCTAGCTGAAGTGATAGTAAACGGATCCAATTCTAGAACTATTGAAATCAAAAGCGGAACCAAACAAGGTTGCCCTCTTTCCCCCCTTCTCTTTGCACTAGCGATAGAACCTTTTGCTAATCTAATCAGATCAAACAAAAACATAAAAGGATATAAGATAGATAGAGAAGAAATAAAAATAAATTTGTATGCAGACGACGCAGTAGTCCTCATAGGTTCAATGGAGAATTCGGTAATTGAAGTAACGAAAGAAATTAAAAAATTCGAAAAGATCTCAGGCTTAACAATTAATATTGAAAAATCAGAAATCCTACCTAAAAACATGAACTGGAAGGAGGTGAAAGAAGTCCAATCTATTCTAGGGGTCAAACTGGGGGAAAAGAAGTTAAAATACTTAGGAGTGTATATACCTAAAAATCTAAATAACATAATTCAGATAAATTATAACCAACTATGGAAGAAAATAAGCAAACAGATTAACAATTGGAAAAAATGGAATTGGGATATAACAACAAGGGTGAAGACATATAAAATGATGATACTGCCCAAACTTTTGTACTTATTTCAATGCCTTCCATGTAGCATTCCTCCCAAAATAATAAAGAAATGGGATAACTCAATTAAAACATGGGTAGTAGGCTCTAGTAAAACCAGAATTGCAAATTCAATTTTTTATACTCCACAAGAAAATGGAGGTTGGGGAGCACCTTGCCTCCAGAACTATTACGAAGCCTGTCAATTGGCTAGGTTACTTGAATTAGATATCGGTGAGCCCAAAAGATGGGTTAGGTTAGAGAAATTAACAAACGGGTGGGAATATGGATCTTGCATTATGGGGAAAATTGGGGGAAAAGAACTAAAAAACATAAAAGGAGGCCCCTTGTCATTAACAATGACTTGTTGGGGAAAATGGCAAAATAAACTCCCAGTAAATAAAATAGACAAGCTCCCAATAGGTTCCTTAGACAACAGAAAACCCCAGCTATATCGCAACATGCTAAAGAAACTGGAACAAAACGGAATAACAAAGATTGAGGACTTACTAAAACCAGACGGGACTGTAATTCAATGGGAGGAAATAAAAGATAAATGTGGGCATGGAAATTGGTTACAATGGGGAGGGCTGTCTAAAAAGCTAATAGAATTGAAGAATAAGGAAACCTCAGAAACAAATCTCGACAAAATAATAAAATGGAAAGTAGAGAGGGAGAAAGGAATCATGGGATTTATATATAACACAATCACCGAAATACAATACAACACAAAATCTACCCTAATAGAAGTCTGGAAGGAGGAATTAAGTTGCAGTGAGAGAGAAATAGACAATTGGATTAATTCAATCAATAAAATAAAACACCTAAAGATTAAAGAAATGCAACGAAAAATATTGACAAAATGGTACAGAACTCCTGTGCAACTGGCGCATATCACAAAAACGTGCCCAAAATTATGTTGGCACAACTGTGGTAAAATAGGAACATATGCCCACATGTGGTGGGAATGTGAAAAAATCCAAAAGTTCCAAGAAATAATCAGGAAAGAAATGGAGGAGCTATTAGGGATCAAGATAGAATGGAATAAGGCCCAATTTTTCACTCAGAAATTCGAAAATAAAGAGGAATATAAGGAAAGTGAGGAAATAATAAAACATATGATAGAGGGAATTAAAGCCTCAGTGGCCCTGGGCTGGAAAGACCACAAGAAATGGGATACAAAAACCTGGTACAAATATTTAGCAGATTACCTTCTTCAAGATTATATTAGCGAAAGGAAAAGTTACTATATGACGGGTCAAAGCAAAAAGACATGGAAAGCAAAATGGAAGGGTCTCATATATAGAATAAAGGGGAAAGATAAATATACGGTGTTGAACAAAACTATTCTCATGATTGAACAATTGTAATAAACACAGCTAAAGTATTTATTTGTTCCCGGGGGGGGGGGGGTGCTGGTGGCGGGATTGGGGAAAAAACTGGTATTTTGAATGTTATTTTCTAAAAATTTTTTTTAAAAAAAAGTTGCTCCAGAATGGTTCGTTATCGCTTCGTTATAAAAAAATCGAATTTTTTACGAATTACGAATTAACGAAACGAAACCGCCCAGCCCTAATAGATATAACTTTTGTATCTCGTTCTTCTCTACCTCCGTGGAGGGACTCAGAACGGCTAACAGCAAAAATTCAATGCAGGACAATAAATAATATTTTAAAACGACGTACATAATACAATAGGTTAAAATATGTATAAATTAAAATACATATAAAACCATTCTGCAAGTTTGCTGTAAAGAGTGTAATGTAAACAGTAACTGACATTAATTGTGGATTAAAGTAGACCATAGCATCCATAAAGTGTCAATTAAATTGTGCCCGTGCCCCCTTTACCTCAGGTGAGTTTGGTCACTGGTGCGTACAGAATGGAAACATGACAACACCTCCTGGCCTCTACCTGGCCCCTCAAGCAAGGCAGCAAACACTGCAGAGTACCTTTGCCCTGAAAGTATTTATCCATCGATGGCATTCTCCCTCGGGCTGAAAACTCATCAGCCCGGTCGATCAGGGCTTCCTTCACTGCCTCGTAGCCATGGAGCACCACAACGGGCCTCGCTCCAAAATAGAGGGTGAAGATGGGGCCGTAGCTCTTCCTGAGCTGTAAAGAAAGGGATAAAGCAAAAGAGGCACGTCATAGACTCGGGGAGTTGGGAGAGACCCCAAGGGCCATCCAGACCACCCCCAGATACACTCCAAGCCACCTTTCTTCTCAGAAAGCTCTGTTGAGGAGATAGAAACATAGAATCATAGAATCAAAGAGTTGGAAGAGAACTATCTACAGACCCACCAAGAAAATCCAACCAATGCTACATTCAGCAAAGAACAAAAGGGATCCTCTCGCCTCTGCAGGAATCTACCGTGTACCATGCAGCTGTGGACAAGTCTACATAGGAACCACCAAACGCAGCAGCATTGCCCAAACACGAATCAAGGAACATGCAAGGCACTGCAGACTACTTCAACTAGTAAGTCAGCCAGAGCAGAGCACCTGAGGAACCAACCTGGACACAGCATTTTATTTGAGAACACAGAAGTGCTGGACCACTCCCACAACCACCATGTCAGACTACACAGAGAAGCCATTGAGATCCACAAACATGTGGACAATTTCAACAGAAAGGAGGAAACCATGAATATGAACAAAATCTGGCACCCAGTATTAAAAAACTCTAAAATTGCAACAGCACAACAGAGAAGAAACAGGCAGGGACATCTATTATCTCTCAACAAAAGTTTGCCCCAAACTCGGTCAGGCCATTGTATGCTAATCAAGGTGGTCAGTTGGAACATTCACACCTAGCTCTAACAGAGAAGAGTCCTCTGTCCCACCCTGGTCATTCCACAGATATATAAACCCTTTTGCCTAGCTCCAACAGGCCTCACTACCTCTGAGGATGCTTGCCAAAGTGCAGGCGAAACGTCAGCAGAGAATGCCTCTAGAACATGGCCATACAGCCCAAAAAAACCTACAACAACACAGTGATTCCGGCCATGAAAGCCTTTGACAATATAGTTGGAAGAGTCCTCCTGGGCCATCCAGTCTAACCCCATTCTGCCAAGAAGCAGGAACATTGCATTCAAATCACCCCTGACAAATGGCCATCCAGCCTCTGCTTAAAAGCTTCCAAAGAAGGAGCCTCCATCACACTCCGGGGCAGAGAGTTCCACTGCTGAACGCCTCTCACAGTCAGGAAGTTCTTCCTAATGTTCAGATGGAATCTCCTCTCTTGTAGTTTGAAGCCATTGTTCCGCTTCCTAGTCTGCAAGGAAGCAGAAAACAAGCTTGCTCCGTCCTCCTCCCTGTGGCTTCCTCTCACATATTTGTACATGGCTATCATCATATCTCCTCTCAGCCTTCTCTTCTTCAGGCTAAACATGCCCAGCTCCTTAAGCCGCTCCTCATAGGGCTTGTTCTCCAGACCCTTGATCATTTTAGTCGCCCTCCTCTGGACACATTCCAGCTTAGAGTCAATATCTCCCTTCAATTGTGGTGCCCAGAATTGGACACAATATTCCAGGTGTGGTCTAACCAAAGCGGAATAGAGCATGAGGAGCATGACTTCCCTAGATCTAGACACTATGCTCCTCTTGATGCAGGCCTACATCCCATTGGCTTTTTTTGCCACCACATCACATTCCTGGCTCATGTTTAACTTGCTGTCCATGAGGACTGCAAGATCTTTTTCACACGTACTGCTCTTGAGCCACACGTACTCCATTATGCATCCTTTTTCCTGCCAAAGTGGAGTATCTTACATTTGTCCCCACTGAACTTCATTTTGTTAGTTTTGGCTCATCATCTTTCTAATCTGTCAAGATCCCTTTGACTCCTGCTCCTGTCCTCTGGAGTCTTGGCTCCCCCTCCCAATCTGGTCCCATCTGCAAACTTGATGATCCTGCCTTCTCGCCCTTCATCTAAGTCATGAATGGAGATCCTGAGCAGGACCGGGCCCAGGAGGGAACCCTGCGGATGGCCCTCGGCTTGTCACTTCTTTCCAGGATGAAGAGGAAGCCTTGGGGAGAATCACCCTCTGGGTTGGTCCATTTAACCAATTCCAGATCCACCTCACCGTAGTTTTGCCTCACCCACATTGGACTAGTTTGCTTGCCAGAAGGTCATGGGGGCCCTTGTACTTGCCTTGCAAAGAGTCAGGTCCAAGTGGTTGGTCTTGAGCTGCAGAGCGTTCCCGATGAGGGGCAATGGAGTTGGGCCAGGGGGCATTTCCCCCCTCTTGTTGGCCTGGCTCTTCCAGATGGCAGAAAGGAGAAGGCAGGAGAGGCAGATGACCAGCAGAACCGTCGATGTCCCCAAGGGCTCCATCCCCAAAACTGAAGTGAGGAGTCAGACTGTCTCCAGGCCCAAGGAAGAAGGGGACGGTGTGCTGTGCTGCTTGCAATTCAAAATCTGCAAAACCTGGCCTTTGGACTTACCTGGAAAAACTGTGTTAATCATTAAGTCACCCAGTTCTTCTCTGGCCTGTGTTCTCTTTTGCATTGATTCCTAAGGCATTATCTAAGGGTTGCAAACAAAGCCTGATTGCTCCCTTGCCAAGGTCCGGGGAGGGATGACCCTGCTGTCTGGACATGGCAAGACCACCCAGGGCCCCCGTGGGCCCCCAAGGCTCTTTCACTTAGGACAGATGGGCCTTTGCTCACGTGCATGGGATGCTATGCATATGTTCATGCGCATGGAAGAGAGTGTGCACAGAAACAGAGGGATACAGGCAGAGGAAATGCATGGGTGGGAGAACCAGTTCTGGAAATGTGGAAATGCCCTGGCTCTTTGTCTCCCCCCTCCCTCCCGCTATCTATCTATCTATCTATCTATCTATCTATCTATCTATCTATCTATCCATCCATCCATCCATCCATCCATCCATCCATCCATCCACTTGTCTCCTGCACTGTGCTTATAATATAATATAGTATAATATATTGTATATACATATAATATCGATAATATTATTTCTATCCATCCATCCATCCATCCATCCATCTACTTGTCTCCTGCGCTGTGCTTATAATATAATATAGTATAGTATAATATATTGTATATACATATAATATCGATAATGTTACTATGTAATACAATATATAACTACTACTAATAACAAAATGATATTATAATTATATATTTTATATTAAATGTAATATTACTAATAATATTACAGTATAATGTTATAGTACAATGTAATATATAATATTAATATTGTGCTATGATAATAATAATGTATTGTATTTACTTTTTACTTGTAAGCCGCTCTGAGTCCCCTTCGGGGTGAGAAGGGCAGCATATAAATGTCGTAATAAGTAAATGGCTCTTTTTTTCAGGACCTCGGAGGGCTGATAGCCAGGCCATCCAGAATAAGGGAGTCTATGGACATACTGGATCACCCAACACAAAGGATATCTCCCCCTCTGCAAGGAACCGAGGATTTGTCACTGACTCCCTGCTGCGCCACATCCTGATCTCTCAAACCAATCTCAACTTCATAAATGAAATCAATATTGCAGAACAGTAAAACAAAGGACCTGGCCTTTTGGGGCTAGACTAAGATGTTAATTCAAAGATCAGGACAATAAGCCTGACCAGGCTTGAGAGCCTAAAGCTATCGCTTGGTCGCTTGGCAAACACCGGTCATTTGTAATCCAGTCACCTAGACATTTCTTCATTGTTTCCCTGTTGTCCCCCTCCCTCCCACCTCATTGGCTGAGCGGCCAAAGCAGAGCCAGCACCCTGATTGGATCTTCTCCTGGCTTGCTGACATCACAGCCAATCACAACGCAGCCGGCTGGGAGTTGGCATGGGAAAATTGAATGGAAATCTATATATCCTGTATTTACCGACCTAGCAGACATGTCGGCTTGTTTGACAGAGGACTGCGGTCGTCATCCGTTCCAGCTGGAATGAAATCAAGGTTTTATTGGTGAAGGAAAGCCTTGGTGGCTTTCCTTCAACTTGGTGAAACTTTATTTTGTGAAATTTAGGGGAAAATCTTTCTTGGTGCTTGCTGTCTCACCAGGTGATCCGGATCCTCCTTTTGGGTCTGGAAAGTCTCTACTTAAGCACGGCCTCCCAAATTTGCATTCGACATCATCAGGACCTTAAACTTCTTCCAGGCAGGACCCAGCACAGATCTCATGGTGTTGGGTCCAACCAAAAGCCTCTCTCATTGGACCCAGGAATCTTTAATGGGCGTCCTGTTCCGACTTTGCCCCGATTTCATGAACCCAACCATGGCTCTTTAATTGGTGCTAGTGTGCACCAGCGCCTGTCTCATGGACCCTGGCCATGGTGTGACGTCTCTCTAGAGAAGTTAACCAAAATGAAACGTAGATTTTTATGATGCTACAATGTATCTTTCTTCATGAAAGGGTCAAGCAAGACCTGAGAAGAATGGCACTGTTTATGTTGGAGTGAACATTGGAGGTTATTTTGGGCAGCATTCTTCTTTTTGCCCTTTCTCTCTCGCTCTCTTCCCCCAACCTAATCCATTCTTTCTACTTCTCCTCGGTGGATCCTTCCAGCTTCCAAAGAGGTGTCCTCTCTCCTCTAATTCTCTCTCAGTTTGCTTTCCCTCCTTTCCCTCCTTCTTGTATTCTATCTCACTCCTTCTTTCACTCTTTAGCAGGTGGGCACTCCCCAACTTGCATCAATGGACTCAACTGTGGCTGAAAGTTGGGCATACCAGGCTGCTAAAGAGGGGAGACATGGGGGGAAACAGAGAAGAAGAAGAAGACCAGGAAAGGAGAGGAGAGAGAAAGTGAGAAAGGGAGCCTGGGGCAAGGACATATTGCAGAGAAGGCATTGAGGAAGAGGGAGGGAGAAGAGAAATGAAGACAAACAGGATCTCACTACTTAATGTGGGGCAGAGGAAGGGGAGGAGGGAGAAAGCTGCTGCCTTTCCATGGTTGAGGTAAGCTTTACCAGCTCTGGAGGAGGGGGATCTTTCTTTGGGTGGAAGGTGACAGAGATTTCTGAGGTACTCCATTGGGATGGGGAGGCTGGGTGTGATACCAGATGCACTTCCTACCCTCATGCCCTCATCCCTGCATGTCCACACACACCCATTCTCACTCTCTCTCATGTTCCATGCACCCTGCAAACGTTGATGCCCTTCCAGACTTGCCATATCTGAGCATCTTTAATGTGTTGCAGTGATCCTGGCTGCTTTTTCTGCAAGAGGTTAACCTTCCTGCTCAGTTCTTCGGAAATGGAGACGAGAATGGTTGCATCGTTGCACCAAAAGACAGGAACAAGAGCAAAATAGAGAGCAAGGAACAGACACAAAATTGTGCATAACTAGATTATAATTCAGATGGGAATTATTTAAACGTTTGTGTACAATATTCAGAGAAAAAAGAATGGGGAAATACCCATTGATTAATGTTGGCTATCCCTTTGCTTTGCAGTGGAGCAAAGTGACTCTAAGTCTTCTCCCTTCTTGGATTTGGGACCCTTCCTGCTTCTGCAGACTGAGATGGAGCCCTTGGGGACGTGCACTGCTCTCCTGGTCATAGGGGTAATATCCCTCCTTCTTCTTTTTGCCATCTGGAATAGCAAGATGTACAGAAAAGGGAGAATGCCCCCCGGCCCCACTCCGCTGCCCATCGTTGGGAATGTTCTGCAGCTGAAGAGCAAATACTGGGATCAGGCGTTCTCCAAGGTCAGTGGAAGAAGTGGGACCATCACCCCTTTCATGCATTTCTCTCTATTGAAATTCATTCTTGCTTTTGGCGCTGCTCTCAGATTCGTTAGGGCCATTTTGAGGTCTTCTAGAGAACTATCTCTTGCTAAGCTATCCCATCCAATTTGATGCCATGCAAACCTGATAAACACACCCTCTAAACCAGTGGTTCTCAATCTGGGGGTCGCAACGCCTAGAGGGCTCAATTGATAATTCAGGAGGGGTCACGGTGCTGTCTCCTTGGGCCCTGTCTCCTCCTTCCCAAAATGTCTGCCAGGCTAAAAGTTCAGGCCCCATGTACCATTCACAGCGTACCAAAAATCCCCTGAGAGGCCCAGGCCTTCAAGGAAGCTGCTGAGAGAGACCTCCTTGTCAGCCCTGAGAGTGGTGTCAGGGGTGCTTTGAATGCAATATTCCTGCTTCTTGGCAGAATGGGGTTGGACTGGATGGCCCATGAGGTCTCTTCCAACTCTTTGATTCTAGGATTCTATGAGAGGCACTCATGCAGCTGCCAGGAGGGCGGCTGCACTGTGAGAATGGTGCACCACTGCCCAGTCAGACCATGGCACTGGAGGCCCCAGGCTGCCCCTCGAGGCAGGGAGTGTCCTGGTGCTGACATCTGAGTGTACACTGTCAAGCACTCCCTATACCCGCCCTCTTCCCCCGCATGCTTGCCCGTGCTGGGAGAGGGACACGATCTGCAAATGCCCTCTCCCTCTGCTGCAGAGCTGGATGTGCATGTGGCCTGGCTCAGTACTGCTCTCTGCCCCTTTGCTTCCCTCAACTGGTTCTGCGGTGCCTGGACTTCCATGCAGAGAGAGAGAGACCATGTTGGAGCAATGGCTGGGGGGAAGTGGTCCGGCCCCTGGGAGCATGCTCTTGGAGCTGTTGTGCAGTGAGGATCGTGCCCACTGTTCCTCTGGAGAGGCTGAAGCCATTCTAGGATTCTGGGACGGTGTCTTCTGAGATAGGTAGAAGGCAGTTTGCAAGGATTCTTGGGAGGATTTTCCCAGCGGAGATTAGAAGGGAGATATTGTTCATAGAATCATAGAATCCTAGAGTTGGAAGAGACCTCCTGGCCATCCAGTCCAACCCCAGCAGGAATATTGCATTCAAAGGACCCCCAACAGATGACCATCATAGAATTATAGAATCTGTCTATCTATCTATTAGGGCTGGGCAACTACGGAAAAATTTGTTTCTAAAATCGATTCGTTTTCTGGGGGTTTTTGCGTTTCGATTTTTAAAAGAATTCCAAAATTTTCCTTAAAAAAAGGTCGAAATTTACAAAATTTCGGAAATTACGAAACAATTACGAAACAATAACGAATCGATTCGTTAATGGCGGACGCAATTGCGCAATACGCTAAAAAACCCTCCAAATGGGACAGGGGGAACGTCTGAAGCTTCCCTCTCCCTCTGTTGTTGACTGTTGGTGCGATAATTATATTTTTTTTCACTGAGAAAACAAACAGCAACCCTAAAACTTGCACCAGACATGTGGAAATAATAACGAAACAATTTCGAAACGATTTCAAAACGATTTCGAAACAATTAAGAAACAATTACGAAACGAATTGAAAAATTACACATTGAAAAATTCGTTTCGTTTTTTAGTTGCTCCTGAATGGTTCAATATCGCTTCGTTATAAAAAAAACCGAATTA